AGCCTCAGCAGCTTAGTGAGCCCCTAAACAACTCAGTGAGACCCTGTCTCTAAATAAAATATAAAAAAAGGTGTGGGGATGTGGCTCAGTGGTTAAGCACCCCTGGGTTCAATCCTAGTACCAAAATAAAATACCTGTTAAAGCCAATAGATTGATTTTGTGATCTACTCATGCTTGAGAAACCTTGGTCTAACACATATGTAGTATTACATGATTCAATTAAATCCCTCAGGATCAAACAACAGAAAGAGGAAGTATTTGCCAACTTGAAGACAAAGATATCCAGAGTTAGAAATCCCCTAACACCCAGGAAGAGGGAGCCATGTGCAAAGTGGAACTTAGGAAGACAATTTGTTCCTACCTTCCAGGCTCTGGGTCTCCTGCACGTCTGTGCCATCCCACAGGACAGACACTAGCCACACAAAGCTATTTACATTTAATTAATTCAAATGTAAATAAAAATAATTCAGTTCCTCAATAGCCCCATTCGAAGTGCTCAGTTGCCATTTGTGGAGCACAACTACAAACATCTGTATTGGCCATGCTGGTCTATATGGAGCATCATGGGAGATGGATCAACTTCATGACTCCAACCTTGGGGGTCCCCATGTGCTGAATGAGGGATCGCCTCCAGAATCGTTTCCAGCTCCATATCTCTAATTTTGAAAGTCCATAAAGTTACTGTGTGAATATGAGCAGTTGGGAGGAGTCCCTGGAGACAGAGCGCTGGGGAACAGAACGCTTGGCTGGCGAGCAGCTAATCATTTCATACAGGAGAGTTCAAGGGAAGGAAGAGCCAGAGGTCACAGCCGCGTCTGTGTTGGAAAGATGAGGCTAAGAAGAAATCAGAGGATGTGCTTTCCTCCTGCCGCCCGGGCTCCTATCTGCTGCTCCTGATCCCTGATAAACCCGGGTGTCAGGTGAATGGAATATGCTTTTTTGGTGGGTGTTTGGGCTTTGGCTCACTGCCCCTAGGAAAGTCCTTCCTAGAAATTGATATCTGAAAACAGTTCAGCTGTCTCATGGAGTGTGTTTTTAAGTTGCGGAATCTCCTCAGTTTTCACTCTCTTCACTTTTTAAGCAGTTTTGAGGTATGATTTGTATACTGTAAAAGGCATCCATGCAAGGTACAGTGGGTTTTGAGAAATAGTTAACCCACGTAACCATACCACAATCAAGATATTGAATGAGCTGGGAGCGGTAGCCCATGCCTATCACTATAGGAGGCTAAGACAGGAGGATCAAAAGTTTGAGGCCAGCCTGGGAACTTAAAAAAAAAAAAAACCAGACTGGTGATGTAGCTCAATGGTACAGCACCCCTGAGTTCAATTTTTCCCTAGCCTGGAGTTACTAATGGGCTTTTTATCACTGTCAATTAGGTTTTCTTTTTCTAGATTTTCATATCAGTGGGATCATTCAGTATGACGCCTCTCTTTGGCACAATGCTGTTGCAGTTATCCATGTTACCATGCATATCAATAGTTGGTTCCTTTTTATTGCCAAGTGGTATTCTATTGTATGGATTTATCTTAGTCTGTTTATCCATTCATCTGTGATGGACACTTGGATTTGGAGCTCTTAAGAATAATGCTATCATGTGTATGCACTCTCTGTACAGACATTTATTTTCATTTCTCTTGGGTAAATATTCCAGGAGTAGAATTACTGGGTCATATGGTAAACGTATGTTTAACTTTATCAGTAACTGCCAAAATGCATTGTATTCTTCTTAAGAATTTAATTTTTTTTGGCACGAGCTGCTGTTTTGCCTAAAGTATTGCCTGTACCCCTCTGTTTCCATTAGATCTTGTCTTGGTCTGAAAACAAGTTCAGGGTTAGGGTACACAATAAAAGGACCAGTCAGGACAGAGAAGGATTTAAGCAAATAGTGTTGTGCTTTTTGGAAAAGAGTACATTACCAGGCTGTGAGAAAGACTGTACTCTAGGATAATAAATGTGTGGGATTTTAAGCTACTAATGGTAATTTGTTTTGTAACAATAGACAACTAATACACTATCCCACACAGTTAATGAGATGCAAAACTACTTCATTAGAATACTCAGGGCCCTCTCACAGGGATTGAGGAAACATCTCAATCCCTGAAGGACGTGAGGAATTTGCAGGGGAAAGTGTTCTCCTTGGAAAGGTAGATGTTTTTGAACTTAGCTGTTTCCTTAATTTACCTGTCCTCATAGAGAGAGAACCCTGTCACCAGCTCAGTCTGGGAACTACTGAGAGTTGGATGTAGAACAAGGAAACTTTGGCATGGAGCACTTTATGCTTCTGAATAGAGGAGCAAACAAAAATGTTACACCAAACCTAGCCCACAAGATTGAGATAGGTTAGAGAGTTGTTTTATAATGGCAATAATAGGCAAATGTTGCTCTTCACCTATATACCAAAGACTAGCCAATGCAAGTTGCTAGTCTCCCCCCACACACCTTTTTTTAAAGTAAATATACATATGATAAGAATCAAATTTCTGATCACAATTTTGCAACCGTTAATTCAGCCAAAGATCACCTTTTTTCAGCTTAAATGCAGGCATGTACTTGCTCGTCTTCTCTAAGTATGTTAAAAGCAATTCAAGTTTTATAGGTAAGTTTGGGAAATGCTATGTTGCAGCCTCTAAATGCTGGCCATCCTGTAAGAGGGCCCTGAGTATTCTAATGAAGTAGTTTTGCATCTCATTAATCTTGTGGGCTGGTGTATTAGTTATCTATTACTGCAGAACAAATTACCATAAATGTAGCAGCTTAAAATCCCACACATTTATTATCCTAGAATATTTGTGGTCAGGAATCTTGTCATTCTGTTTCAGTCTCTTACAAGGCTACAATCAAGAGTTGGGCGAGTGCTGGTGTCTCATCCAAAGGCTCAACTGAAGGATTCATTTCAGAGGTCACCTGCTGGTTGGCAGAATTCAGTTAGTTGAAGTTTGGGCTGGTTGCCTTGGTTCCTAGTTGGATTTTGGCTAGAGGCCATCAGCAGTTTCTTGTCACGTAGGCTTTTCTGACAGCTGCTTGCTTTCTCGAAATATGCAATCCCAGAAGACAATCAGGAGACTCAATAGCAAGATGGAAGCTAAAATTTTAGGTAATCAAATCATGGAATGAACATTCCATCACCTTGGCTGCATACTGTTGGTTAGAAGCAGGTCACCAACCCTACTACACACTCAAGGAGAGAGGATTACTTAAAGGTGTGACTACCAGGAAGCCAGCTTAGATTCTTCCTGCCATTGGGTAACAGCCAAACCTGTCAACCTCTGAGACCCAGTGCACCCCAGCAAACACTCCAATGACAGAAGTAAGAATCAGTGGATAAATCTGACACAAATTATAAAGGATGAGTCTGAGTCTTTTGCTCTTCTAGACTTCTTCTCCAGATTTAATTAGGTAAAGTAAGAGCAGGAAGGAATTGAGTTGTTAACAAATCTTGGTAACATTGATCCAAGTTTTTGTAGATGAGCACCAGAAATTAAAAAAAAAAAAAAACAACAACAACAAAAAAAAGAATAACAACAATCCCATATTATTCTTGCAGGAAGTGGGTAGAACAAATAGACTGTCGGCTGGAATATAATTTCTTGTATATCAAGACCAGTAACTTACTGAGTCTAATCCAACAGAGGCACTCAATAAAATGTGTTTATATGAATAGACTTTGGACCCAGTCAGTTCTATTGATCTTCTTTTGTAACAAATACTTTATAATAACCTATAATAACCCTAAAATGAAATCCAAAAATAGAATTTACCTACCCAAATAATTTCAAAACTTCAGAATGACTTAACTAATATAAAAGATAAAAGAAAAATAATTGTGATTAAAAAAAAAAACAATGTGTTTCAATATGTAGATTCTCCAAAACAAAGGGGTTAGATGATTGCTCCTGGATTAGTAATCGCTGCTAATGAGTTAGTTGTGAATGCAAGCGGATATTTAATACTGGGGCATGGTATTAGGGACTCAGATCTACAATTTACCATTAGTGGTGTAATTTTCTAGGAAGACGGATATTTCTTGGAACTTTCTGAACAAAACAACAACAACAAAAAAAATCATCCCATAATTTCTACAGAAATTGCATTCCTGGAAAATTCAGTGTATGTTCAAGGTGTGCAAAAATAAACCTCCCACCCCACCCCGCAAAAAATGAACTCTTCTTGTGGAGCTAGTCCAGGCTCACATAATTATATGTAAGGTTTTTATCTACAGGTATGTCATGCAGGACATTGAAAACTATAAGGGCCTTGAGACAATTATTGTACAGGACTGCACTGCACTTATCAGGATAAATGCCTGGGACCTAGGATAAATGCCTGGGACCTGGCATTTCCCCAAACACACCCTCCCCCCAAGTTGCAGAAATGGCTGTCCATTATTGCAACAGCAAAAGACCCCTAGGATTTTGCTAGTAGGCAGGATCTCTTGCCATTGTAAACCACTACAAAGTAATGTAATTATCAAGACTTGTTTGGACTCAGTTAAACCTAAAGATCAAGGAGTGTTGCACTCAGGCTGTGGATGTTGCTCAGTGGTAGAGCACTTGCCTAGAGGTGGAGCACTTGAGTATTGTGGTCAAGCAGCTGAGGCATAGTTGGAGTGTTTGGGTCTTGAAAGAACTAAAGTACTTACTGAGGGTGGAAGGAGAAACAACACCAAGTGAGGCTGTTAGAAATGGCCATCTTAAGCCAGATGAGGTGGCACACACCTGTAATCCCAGCAGTTCGGGAGGCTGAGGCAGGAGGATCACGAGTTCAAAGCCAGCCTAAGCAACTTAGTGAGGCCCTAAGTAACTTAGTGAAACCCTGTCTCTAAATAAAATATTAAAAAGGGCTGAGGATATGGCTCAGTGGTTAAGCACCCCTGGGTTTAATCCCTAGTACCAAAAGAAAGAAATGGCCATCTCAAAGCAGACACTTTAAACACTGAATCTTTTTCTTTTCACACTGAATTTTAAGAATACTGACAAAATGCTTTCTTTTTCTTACAGAAACCTGTTTCCTTCCAATCTTGTGGTTGCAACATTCCGTACGGTAAGGTTTGATCCTTTGCCAAATATATGAAACTCTGATGGAGGAGAAATATAAATTGCGGCTCTAGAGTTAGGTAAAGTAAGAGCAGGGCGGGATTGTGTTGTTAACAAATCTTGGTAACATTGACCCAAGTTTATAGATGAGCACCTGAAATAAAAAAATAAACAAAAAAATAAAGAATAATAACAACAAAAACTTTCCCTATAATGTCCCCAAAACACCCACATATTTTATAGCTAAAAAATAACCCAAATCACATGTTGGAGAGATCTTAAATATTTTAAAATTTTAAAAATACAAAAATTTTTCTGATTGGAAAGGTAATATGTACTCATTTCAAAAATAAATAAATAAAATTTTTAAATGTGGAAGAAAACAAAAACCACCCATAGTTACTACTAGAAATATCCATTATTAACATTTTGTTATATGTCCTTCAGATATGTTTTTTCTATGCATGTACACATTTAAAAATAAGTATGCTATAGGGGCTGGGATTGTGGCTCAGTGGTAAAGCCCTCGCCTAGCACACATGAGGCACTGGGTTCAATCCTCAGCACCACATAAAAATAAAATAAAGGTACATGTCCACCTATAGCTAAAAATATATATTAAAAATTGGCAGAAAGAGTATTATAAAAAATTAAGTATGCTGTACCTATTGTTAGTAGATGTATATACTATACATACTGCTTCATAACTTGTTCTCTTTTTTTAATGCTTTTTTTTTAATGCTGGGGATGGAACCCAGTGCCTCATGCATCCTAGACAAGCGCTCTACCTCTGAGCTACATTCCCAGCCCTGCTCTTTTAAACTTGCTCTTTTTAAAACAATACATGATCAGCATTTTCCCATATAGATAAATATCCCCCTGCATAATGCTAATGGCTATAGAATATGCTGTGTTAGTTAGTGCAGTTTCCCTCCATGTGTCCCCTGCTGATAGACATTCAGGTTGTGACTCGTTTTTTCCCCTGTTTTTAGCAAAGCATCAAAATACACTCCTGTGGCCTTTCTTGACAGAGAAGGACCATAAAGGTTAGATTAGGTGGTCTAATCCTTTGCTTTTTTTAGCAAAGACTTTTCTGTTTCCACTTACAACCTCTCTCTTTTGTTGTTTTTTTAATCTGCATACAAGCACAGAAGCAACTTATATATATAATGTGAGGTAGCAGAAAAAAAATAAATTTATGGAGCTTTCAGTGCCTGTCACAGAGTAGGTGGGGTCAGTTTTAACCATGGGACAACTGAACACCTCTGCCTCTCTGAGCCCTTGTTAAATCAAAGCTGGTGAATCCAGAACTCATCGGAGGTTGCCAGGTCTTTACCTCTGAATGGGCTCCTCCAGACAGTTCTGAAGCCAAGAACCCTTGGTAGGGATCAGAAAGGCATAGGCTCTAACAGATTCTACTCAGCAGTATGGACTGCCATGGTGAGGTTCCTGTGGGCACCATGCAGAGGTGTGCAAGGTCAACCAACTATAGGACCAACCCTGCAGAGATATCTCACTTCTAAATTGTGAGTCTCCTGAAAGACTCAAAACAGCAAACATCATTTGGCCTAAAGTCCCTTGCTTTAGAAAGCATAGGCTCAAGCTAGATTAGAAACAGATGCTAAAGAGCAGTCACACTCAAATAAGTTCTGAAATAAAATGAGGCATAAATAAATTAGTGAAAATAAAGTGACACATTTAAAAGTAAAATTTGACCTTATGGAATTAGTGCCAAGATTCTTTAAATAACATGAAGTCTCAGCTGTTGGAAATATCAAACTATCAGCAGGAAATTGAGCACATCTTCTCCAACCCATTGCCCAAGGAACAGAAGGAAATTCTCCCTGTTTCCTTGGGTCCCTAAGTAACCCAGAGGCCTCTTGAAGGACATGCTGCCTTGGTCTTAATGTAAATTCTGTGCGTTTTCATCAAGCCAACCAAGTCCCCGGTGCTCAGTGCAAGTCATGCTGGAGGAGGGAGAGACCTGGCCACTCCCTGGGTTCCTCTGGATGGGGCTCAGCCTGGGCACTAACCATGAGTTTTTGTTCCTTTTTTTTTTTTGTTATAGTATGCGACTGATTATAAAATGGTGACTCACAACACCAGCTTTGGAAATGTGACCCGTGAAAAGGTAAAGCTCCCTACAAAGTCACTTGTGTAGAATATTCATAAAGCAAATAATGTTTCTTAATTAAGGAACAGTTGAGATGTGTCTTTTTCTCAATAGGGTTGAAAACTTTGTGGTTTGAATGGACTAGTTAAAGCTAACAAGTTAGGTTTGCTTCTTTGGTTATTTGTGAACATGGCCAACTGCACTTGTGGTACCTGTGGTACTAAATCCTCGGAGGATCTGTGGGGTACTTTATAACACCCCCTCTGCTATTCTGAAATACAATGAAAAGCTGATTCAACCAATTCCTACACATAAAACTTTTTAAAAATAACATAATATAAGGAAGAAATAAAAAAATGTGTGAGAAAGCAATCTATATTTCACCATGTAAATGCACAATTATAAGACATAATGAAGTTTTCAGATATTTGCATCTACTCAAAATGAATAAATTTGGCTTTAAAATGTGAGATGGAGCTGGGCCTGGTAGCAGATTCCTATAGTGCCAGCTAACTACTTAGGAGGGTAAGGCAGGAGAATCTCTTGAGCCCAGAAGTTGCCCAGGATAGCCTGGGCAACATATTGAGATCCCATCTCTAAAAAATAAATAAATAAAAGCAGTGAGACAGAACTCAACTAAACATTGTTGCAGTTTGAAATAAGTGCTAAAAATTTTTGTAGCCATGTATGGAATTCACCTGAATATAGATAGACAGCAACAACATCAGATTGACATTGTGTTGTACTAGTGACTTGAATAAAAGCACTTTGACCACTGGTGATACAATTTTCTGAAATAAAAAACAACATTACAACAAAACAGTTTTCCTGTGTTTATATCAACTTGATATTCTTTGGAAGTCCATGTATGTTAAAACTGTGCAGAAAAAAACAATAAGCTATTTATGTATAAAATGGAGTTAGCTAGAGCTCAGATCCATAAATAGGATTTCCCCATCTCCCCCTGTGTGAATGTCTGGTGGGATGCTCAGAAAACTGTGGGGTGTATGAGAGTCTGCACTTTGTTTTAAAATATGTAAAGGCCTTTCAGGACATTTATCATTCTTAATATCCTTGTCTACTATTTCCTAGTAGGACATCACAAATGCCTATCAGAGTACCCCCCCCCCAATAAAACTACCCTGTTCATTAATATTGATTTAATCAGCAGTCCTTAATTTAAAAGGCCAGAGAGGGTGGTTGGACCTCTCTGCCAATCCCTGATTGCCACAGCTGGGTTCATTAGGATATGGGCTGTCTAGGTGGGCTTACCTCTGCATGCCACCTTCATGGTATATAAACTCCTTTGACATGTCATTTGAGTCTTAGGACAACCTGGTGAGGTAGGATTTATTAGTCCCACTATAAATTCTTGAAAGGATGGTCTTCTAAGGTTGATCAAGACTATTCATAAACAAGAGCACTGTGTGAATCCCAGAACATTGTCTCTGCAGTGTCTTTGAATTTTGACAAACCTTGAAGGCATTCACTGGCTGCTCAGATTTCCCCCTGGAAATGCTAGTGACTCTCAAGCACCCCCTGCCACCTGACATACCCTTACTTTCACTATAAATTTAATCCAGTAATGAAAAGAGTCATTCTTTGAGACAGGAACAGTGTGTCCATGCTAGTTCAAGGCTTTCAGGAACCCTGTGATTAAAGATTGTATAAAGATTAAGTCATCTTTGTCCCCCAAGGATGAGATGTTGGTGACAGAGTGAGAAGTCGGGGACTCAGAAACACAAGGTCTTGTGGAAAGTCTCCTGCCCTGACCCATGCCCTATATTCCTTGCCTACTTTGATCCCATATTAACAACTCGCTATAAATACCTCCTAGGATTTTGTTGAATAGTCATTAATTCATTAAACAGTGATTTACTTGGCAGCCACTCTGTGCCATTTGTGGGCACTAGACCACAGGCATTGCTCAACATAGGAAAGGCCGGGCTCTTTCACAGCTAACACTCTAGTGGAGGAAACCATATAAAAAATACATATGGGGGGCTGGGGATGTGGCTCAAGTGGTAGCGCGCTCGTCTGGCATGCGTGCGGCCTGGGTTCGATCCTCAGCACCACATACCAACAAAGATGTTGTGTCTGCCGATAACTAAAAAATAAATAAATATTTTTAAAAAATACATATGGCCACTAGAAAATGAAGCAGGGCACATAAACATACAGGGAAAGTGTGTTTATGTGTACCAGGTGATGGTGAGGTGTGCCATCTTAGCCAGAGTGGTCAGGGGGACCTGATGAGAAGGAGGAGATAAAGGGAGGCTGGTGGGAAGGGTCATATAGTCAATAGGAACAGAATATGCAAAGGCATACCAGCAAGAGGCACAGCTCTGGGTGCAACTCTGGCTGTATCTCTGCCTATGTCTACTCTCCTATCCCCACCCAATGCTGTTTGCCAAGGTGTGTGCAAACATCTTGCTGCAAAACACCTGCTTTAAAGATGGGAGTCATTTCTTTGGAAAAATTGTTGTTATTGCCCTCAAGTTCAGAAATCCAATTCCTTATCTGGAATTACCTGACCTCAAACACCATACCTGGGAATGGCAGGTCTACTAAAACCAACTTTGGATTAGCAGATGAATTCTCTGGTTGCATTGATTCTCGATCCTTGATTCCAGTTAAGATTTGGGACATGGATAAAAAAATGTGGGTTGATAGCCCCGAGGTCACTACCAAGTGTTAGCCCTACAGCTCATAAAATCCTGGAAGCGTTCACTTCTCTAGAGATGCCCCCCCACCCCCCACACACACAAGTTATCAGTAGAGCACGTAATACAACCCAAGCTTTCTTCCTCCCCAGCTCTTTAACCTGTAGCCTGGTAACTTTAACAGACCAAGTCCCAGGAGAAAATAGTGATATTCAGAAGATATTCAGATATTCTTATTGTCTTTGGTATCATTACACCATTTGTAAGGAGAACCCTTTCTAGATGAAATTAACCTAGAATGATCTCCAACAAAATATCCCATTAAAAAAATAATAATGGCAAATTCTTGTTAGTTTTCATTTGCCAAACACAGTCTAGGTGCTTTACATTTATTAATATACTGAATCTTCAGCCTTCTATGCTAGCTACTATGATTGTCCCCGTTTTGTAGATGGGGCACTGAGGCACAGAGAGAGTTAACTTACTTAACACTCACAACTAGCAATTGTAATGTAAGTCAAGCTCCAAAGCCAATGCTCCATAATTATTATTTCTACTGTTACTCTCTAAGTCATATAGATGTCACTGATATATTTCAGTATAAACAAAAGCACTGGATATGGTGATCATCATCCTATATTTCAACTTTTCTATTAATTTTGAAATGTTTTGTGATGAAAATTTGCAAGAATGCCAGGCATATTAGCACACACCTGCAATCCCAGCTACTCGACAGGCTGAAACAGGAGGACTGTTAAGTTTGAGGCCAGCCTAGGCAACTTAGTGAGACCTTGCCTCAAAATAAAAAGGGCTGGGGATATAGCTCAGTGGTAGAGCACGTGCCCAGCATGCACAAGGCCCTGGGTTCTGTCTCCCCAGTTCCACAAAAAAGGAAAGAGAGAAAAAGAGAATAAATAAAAGCAACCCATCAAGGTGGTTGTCCAACCATCCTTGAACACATCCGGTGACAGGAAGCTCACTACTTTATAATTGAATCTGTGCCATATGTATTTGAACTCTTCAGAGTTAAAGAGGTAAAATTTTTACTTGTTCATTTTCTGCATCCTCAAATACTATCTCCCCTCAGGTTTTTTTATTCATAAAACCACTAAAGAAAAACCATTAAAGAAAATAATGAGCCTTTTATCACTCGGGATAGTCTGATGGAAATGTCAAGCAAATACACCCTAAATTCTCTCTCTTCTGTTGTGATGTGAACTTAGACCATTCTGTCTCCTCTGATCCCGCAGATTCCCTATGCCACTGAGATTGAAGGAATGAACATTTTAGGATTGGTTCTCTTTGCCCTGGTGTTAGGGGTGGCCCTAAAGAAACTAGGCTCCGAGGGAGAAGAGCTCATCCGCTTCTTCAATTCCTTCAATGAGGCGACAATGGTGCTGGTGTCGTGGATTATGTGGTGAGTGTCACCCTGCCACTTCCTCTTATCTCGTTTCCCCTGACATCCAGGAAAGAATCCAACTTTGCTATTCTAGTTTTCCTGTAGGGCCACCTGGCCCAGAGATCTTTTGTGGTTGGTGGACCTCAGGCCAGTCTTGGTACATGGTAGAGATGGCTTCTTCTCTTATCCAGGACCTAGGGAATTAGGTGTGCACCATAGTTACCAGTCACCCCTGCAGTGCCCCCACTGACCCTTGGTGACTTTGTCACTATGATCCATTTAGGAGTTTCCACCATTGACCCATGCCATGTGCTCTGTCCATATCATCTTATAGAGCTTTGAATTTGTCATCTGTCACATAAAATAAGCCTGATTTATCTCAAAATGATAGACTTCTAATTTCCAAGAGACCTTTCACTATAGTATTTCACAACATGGAGGACCAGCCCAACTTCACCCCAGGCATGAAAAAACATGTAAAACTTGGAATGGTATTTTGTTCATAAGTTTTTATTTCATAGATTACTTTTTGTGAGAATATCAAAAGAAGAATGATTATTGAGTAAAAAGAACAATAGATTGATTCCTGGCTAAAAAAGTAAAAAGTTTGACCAGCTCACTCAAAACAACTCAGGAATCATGTCAATTCCAATGCTCAGACCTCATAAGTTAGCTGGGTATGGTGGGACGTGCCTGCAATCTCAGCAGCTCCAGAGGCAGAGGCAAAAGGATCGCACCATTGAGGCCAGCCTCAGCCTCACAGCTTCACAAGGCCCTAAGCAACTAAGTGAGACCCTGTCTCAAAATAAAAAATAAAAAGGAATGAGGATGAAGCTCTGGTATCAAAATAAATAAATAAATAATGAGAGAGAGAGAGACCTCATAAGCTTTACTTGGAATTTCCCCCAAGCCAGACCTCTGTGGCTTTTAGCTTTAACCCATTAGTTGTTAAGAACTAGTTTATCCTTTCTTGCACAATGTCCTTATTGTCAAACCCTTAAAAAATCCCAGAACTCTTTCTCAATCAAATGGGACTGGGTGATAACTGGACTGGTTTTCAGAGATGTTTGAAACAGAGGCCAAATCTAAAGCACCCCCTTCCCCCACACCAACAGTGGTGTTCCTCTTGCTCCATCCAAGGACCCCAGAGCCTGCCTCTGTTCATTGCAAACACTCCACTTCGTATGACTGCAGTTGTCTCAGGGAGACACTGGTATTTTCAGAAAGGAAACTTTTCTTTTATCAGATGTCAAGTTCTTTTCTTGGCTTATTTTTTGACTCTAAAATTCTTCCAAAGTTTGGACTTAAAAAAACCCTATGCAAGAAAGTATTATTCCCAGTTTAGAACATTTGTTTTTAGTCTGGAAACTCATTGAGTCATTCCTTCAGTTTGATGTGCCAGTTATGTAAGTAGGTTTTCGGTGAGGCAGATCTTGCAGGGTATCTAGCTGCAGAGGGAGATCAGCTGCCCAGGAAGCACAGGTCACATAGCACTGGAGTGTCATATGACCTCAGATGGTCAAGGATCTCAACCACACATGAGAGGGATCTTCAGTAGAAGCCCACTCTAAAACCACAGCAGCTGCCTACTCACCCTATGTATTCACAGAAATAACTTCTAGATGAACCAACCATACACACAGTCAGCAACCTTTGCAAGCTATACAGTTTCTGTTGCAATAACCCAACTCTTTCATTGTAAAGTGAAAGAAGCCAAAAGTAACTTATAATAAATGGTTGTGAATGTGTTTCAATAAAACTTTATTTACAAACGTTTACGCTGCCAACTCCTGGATAAAACTAATCAGGAAGAAGAAAAAGAAGAATCCTCTAAAAATATTTGAAGGAAATATATGGATAGGGAAAGTCTACCTAAGCAACATACAAAAAACAAAAGCATTTTTAAAAGCTTCTAAACTTGAACACGTCAGAGTCCAAAGAGTTTGCATGCAAAAGATACTTTGAACAAAGTTAAAAGTCAAGACACTTATTGGAAAAAAATAATAATAACATATTACATACCGTGTATAGAGAAATAAAGAGTTCTGTTACTGAAAAAGAAAAAGACTGAAGACACTATTAGAAAATGGACAAAATATTTAAGCAGGCAGTTTATCACAGAGGAGAGCTGAATGACCAGTAAACATTTTTTTAAATAGTTTTAATTGTAGATGAACACAATACCTTTATTTTATTTATTTATATGTAGTGCTGAGGATCGAACCCAGTGACTCACACATGCTAGGCGAGCGCTCTTACCACTAAGCTACAACCCCATCCCACTAGTAAACATTTTAAGGGAGGCCCAACCTCATTAGAAATCAGGGAACTAAGGACTGGGGTTGTGGCTCAGTGGTAGAGCACTTGCCTACCATATGTGAGGCACTGGGTTCAATTCTCAGCACCACATATAAATAAATAAGATAAAGGTCCATCAACAACTAAAAGACATATTAAAAAAAAAAAAAGAAATTAGGGAACTAAAAAAAAAAGAAATGAGGTAGATGTCTAAGTCCTGACATGAGAGGATCTCAAAGGCATAATGCAGGGTGAAGAATCAATAAATGTACAGATTTAAATCCATTCCTATATACCTTAATGCATAGGAAGTTAGCATGACTATCTGAGGTGGAGTCTGGCTTGGCAATTTTATCTACAGAGGATTTTAGTCTAATTTATAATGTTTTAGTTTTTTGAAGGGAAAATGTGTTCATGTATTACAACGAGGATTTAAAATTAATATCACTACTTAGAATATCTCTAGAAAGAAATCTGGGCATTGACTGTCCCCAGTGGGTACTTAAGGGATAGAAATAAGAGATTTCATACTGTTGACCCTTTTGTACTCCTTGAAATTTGAACTCTGAAACATTATTACATATATAATTAAAAAATTTTTTAAAAATCAACAGTCCTACCATGAATACTCCATGTGTGTATGTCACAGTGCATTTTACTGACATGTATAACTAAAAAGAATATATAATAAAAAGAAAACAAACAATTAAGTTCTTCCTGAATTGCTATTAAAATTTTAAAAACTGACGTTTGTTCTTTGCAGCTCCCATAATTCATTCCTTCCCTTTTTGCCTTTAAAAAAACCTTCACGTTCTAGAAGTGTTCCCAGAGTGTCATTGTTACTGACTTTTTCCCACGGGATCATGTTTGCCAAACCACAAAGAATGTAAAATTTCACAGAAGGGAAATCTGGCTCGATTTTGTATCACAGCAATTCTGTAAAATAAATGTTAGCCTTCCGTGTTTCTACGTTCTCAGAAGGAGCCGGAACAAAAGCTGAAAGTCAAGCTCACAGTCCCAGGGGCTTTGATCTTGAGTCCCTGGCTTTCTGCTTGGGAGCCCCTGTGGTTAGTAGTATCCATCTGTTAAGAGCACGTGTCTTGGCCTGGGGATATAGCTCAGTTAGTAGAGTGCTTTTCATATACACAAGGCCCTGGGTTCAATCCCCAGCACCACACACACACACACACACACACACCATATGTCTCCAAGAGAAAGAAGTCTGAGCTCTGGTGCTGACTCAAATCCCTATGGTAAGTGATCAACTTTGTTTTACTCAGTCTCAACCAGTAAGATGATCATGATCTACCCCCATGCTCTTCTGTGCTCAGAGTTATTCTAGAGCAAGATGAAGATGTCCTGGTTGAAAGTTCCTGCATTCTGTATTAGGATTAGGAAGGGCCGTCATCTCTCAGCCCCTCCTTATCGCCTTCCTAATGAGTACCTTGTGCTTATCCCCTAGGTATGTACCTCTGGGCATCATGTTCCTGGTCGGAAGCAAGATTGTGGAAATGAAGGACATTATCGTGCTGGTGACCAGCCTTGGGAAATACATCTTCGCATCTATATTAGGCCATTTTATTCATGGAGGAATTGTTCTGCCACTTGTTTATTTTGTTCTCACACGAAAAAACCCATTCAAATTCCTTCTGGGCCTTCTCACACCCTTCGCAACAGCATTTGCTACCTGCTCCAGGTGAGTGGGCTTGGAGGGCTTTGGCTGCTCCAGCCATATCAGTATGGAACCAGGTGAGATCAGGGAGACAGATGCACAAACAGTTCTTTTTCTTCTTGTGCACATTTTGTACTACAAGGCAATATGTGATCCTTGAGAAAATTTGGAACAGGTGAATCCAAGAAAGTAATACCACAGGTAAATGCAGGAAGTAACTGGGAGTCGGGAGGTGAGAAAGCCTGTGTTATGCCAGAAACTTGGAAACAATTCTGTGTTTTTCTTCTTATTTCAAGGGAGGAAATTCAGAAACTAAGATAGTACTCATTGCTGTGTTCCAGGATCTGAGATGAATGATGTATTAGCCTGGTCTGAAGGAACTGTTCTTATCGTTCGTGGGTTGTTTTTTCATTTCTAGTTCAGCGACCCTTCCTTCTATGATGAAGTGCATCGAAGAAAATAACGGTGTAGACAAGAGGATAAGCAGGTTTATTCTCCCCATCGGGGCCACTGTGAACATGGACGGAGCTGCCATCTTCCAGTGTGTGGCCGCGGTATTCATCGCCCAGCTCAACAACGTGGAGCTGAATGCAGGACAGATCTTCACAATCCTGTAAGCTCAGTATTCTTTCCCTCATTTGGGGCCTGGATTAAAACCTGAGGTTTTTCTTGTGATTTCCTTCAAAAAAGTTTATTGCAACTCAACATCTCATTTGCGAAGTGTGGACAGTTTGGATTCATAAGAGTCATCCTTCAGTAGTAATCTTGGGGGGCATTAGTTCTAGGACCACTCCCCTATAATCCCCACAACCCCCTGCCAATCACAGATACCAAATTCCATCAAACTCAAGCCTCTTACATAAAATGGTGTAGTATTTGCACCTAACCTAAGCACATTTTCCAATTTTTTTTTTTTTTTTGTGGTACTCAGTTGAACTCAGGGGTGTTCTACCACTAAGTAGCCACAGCCTTTTTATTTTTATTTTTTTTTTATTTTGAGACAGGATCTTGCCAAGTTGCCAAGGCTGGTCTCAAATTTATGATCCTCCTGCCTCAGCCTCCTGTGTTGTTGGGATTGCAGGTATCCAGCAACATGCCCAGCTTCCCATATATCTTAAATCATCTAGAATACTCTCAATCCCTAATACAATGTAAATACTGTAACTGGTTGTTAGACTGTAGTGTTTAGGGAATCATGACAAGGAAAAGTCTCCATGTTCAGTAAAGAAGGAATCTTTAAGAATTTACATTTTGATCTGTGGTTGGTTGACTCCATGGATGCAGAACCTGGGCCTAAGGTAGCTGACTGCACTTGCAGAGAATGGCTCTTCTCTTCAGGCCCCAGAATCCACCATGGTGTGGTTTCCAGTTTCTACACTATGACTGCCATATTCTGCATATCTGTGTTAAAGGCTGACCCTGCTTTGCCATCCCCTAGAGTGACTGCCACCGCGTCCAGTGTTGGAGCAGCGGGCGTGCCAGCTGGAGGGGTCCTCACCATCGCCATTATCCTGGAGGCCATTGGGCTGCCCACCCATGACCTCTCTCTGATCCTGGCTGTGGACTGGATCGTGTAAGTAGCAAGTCCTAAGGACACCAAAACCAGAAAAGCCTTTTGTGTAGTTCCCTGGGAGCTTGATTCTCCGCTAGGCCTGGGGCATGCAAAGAAACCTAAAACACACTCCCTGCCTTGTGAAGTAGCCTACAGTAAAGCTGGCAAGTCCAGATTAAGAGCTAGGAAAAGTTAAACAATATGAGACCCAATGCCCTTGATCATCATGAACGACCATGAAATGCCAGTACTGAGAACTTGCTTGTAGCATCCAATACAGTGAGGATTCAAGGCCAAGGCTCCCAGCACAGGCCCAGGGGTCACAGGGGCCATGGAGGTTGTTGGCTGCAGGTGAGAGATAAGTAGTCGGAGCAGTGATCCTTAAGGAATGGTTGTCCTTCAGCTGGAAATGTCTAAGGAGCAATTTCTGTGGGAGAAAAGAAAGTGAACTCTGTTAATTCAGGCAGCTGGGGCTCACGTTCAGCAGAGGGGGACTTAGGAAAGGGGGTGAGCCAGAGCTACTGTAAAAGCCAAGACAGTTTCTAGATGTTGATTTCTTGAATCTTGTGATACCTTTTGCAGCTGTAAATAATATCCCACTGTATAGGGAGGGTCAGCTGAGGTGCTGATGTTGACAGAGCAGAGCACATGGGCAAGAAACTGAACTAGAAAAGTGAAACAATAATAGAGTCAAATGCACATGAACAACAATGAATGACCATGAGATGCCAACACTGAGAACTTGCTTGTAGCATCCAGAAGCCCAGGCACTTGGGTTCAAGTCCTGGCTTCACCGTGTAGCTGTTGAGTAACGTGAGCTCCTCTGTGCTTTGGTCTGCTCATCTGTAAAATGGGAATCATAACAGAAGCTCCACCGTAGCTGCAGTGAGGGTTAAATAAATCCACACATGCAAAGCACACAGAACACTGGGAACATGGGAAAGCATTTGATAGATACAGTGGAGACATTCCTGCCAGGCTAGTCATAGCCAGGCGGTGAACACAGGAACCTGGCACTGAGCTCTCAGATCTACCCATGGTGGTTGGGTGGTTGGGTGGTCGAGATCGGTTTTTCCAACTTAACACCCTTAGCGAAATGAGGGTAAAATGTCCTGTAAATGCCTGTTGTCCAGATCCTCCATTAAAAGGAACTCCATTCCCAAGCTGGCAATTTGGATAGAACCAGAGTCATATCAGAGCTCATGCAGCTGCCTCTGGTGCAAGGAGAAAGGACATCAAGAGGTACTTGGCCAGGGAAGAAATAGGGCCTATGCCCTTGACCCACCAAGCCTTCCAGCCACCCAGCCCTATGATCCTGCACCCATGGCTTTTGTCCTCTCGTGCCCTCTGAAATGATCACATTTTCTCCCTTCTCTTCAATATGGACACAGTTCCTTCTTTGAACGAAGGTAGATATTGGACTCACCTGTGGTGAGTGCAAAGGATAGTGCAGTCGTTCTGTGAGAGGGTGTTTGCCAACAGCCATGGAATGCACAGGAAGGTCCCATTAGTGAAGCTGGGCCAAAATGAGAACAGCTCAGTGTGACACTGAGGGGACGAAGAGCTGAACACAAAGCCATATCTACTCTACTCTCCCAGCTTTATGCAATTTTATACGATGGTGTCTATTACATATAAAAGACATTTATAGAAAGATGTCTGGAAGGAGCTAGATCGCAGCGTTACTCTGGACTCTGATTCAGAGTTTGGAATATGGGTAACTTCTTTTTCTTTTCTTTTCCTTTTTTTTTTTTGGTACTGGGGATTGAACCCAGGAGTGCTTTACTGAGCTCCAGCCCCAGCCCCAGCCCTTTCTATTTTTTGAGACAGGGTCTCAGTAGGTTGCTTAGGGCCTCACTTAGTTGCTGAGGTTGGCTTTGAGTTTGCGATCCTCCTGCCTCAGCCTCCTGAGTCGCTGGGGTTACAGGCATGCAACACCATTCCCAGCCTCTGATCCTTTTTATTTTTTATTTTGAGACAGGGTTTCACTAAGTTTCTGAGGCTGGCCTCGAATTTGCAATACTCTTACCTCAGCCTCCTGATTTGCTGGGCTGATAGACATAGGCCATCATGCCTGGCTTACTTCTCTTTATTCCGGGTTTTCTTCAGTGAGGGTCTGTTGATTTTGTTTTAATTTTGTTAAAATCAACTTCGAGCAAGACCCTTAGTAGCATGCCCTGCAGGAAACAACAAGGCAGCCCTCCTCATTACTTCCCAGGGCTGTCCAGCCTGCCTGGGGAAGTAATGCTAGCTCCCAGTGGTGGTACTGGATGTGACTCTTGCCCTTTGCTTTTCCTACCAGGGACCGGACCACCACCGTGGTGAACGTGGAAGGGGATGCCCTGGGTGCGGGCATCCTCCACCACCTGAATCAGAAGGCAATGAAGAAAGGGGAGCAGGAACTGAGCGAGGTGAAAGTGGAAGCTGTTCCCAACTCCAAGTCTGAGGAGGAGACATCACCTCTGGTGACGCACCAGAACCCTGTAGGCCCTGTAGCCAGCGCCCCAGAACTGGAATCCAAGGAGTCGGTTCTGTGAGGGGGCTGGGCCTGCACCCCCGCCCTGCTCCCACCCTGTTTGACACAGTCACAGCCCTCATGGACTTTTAATTTCCAAGCAATGCTTTGGCCTAGTCACTAGTTAGAGGAATTACCTCAGCACAGGCGTTGGGCTCCCCAGCGAGAATGGGTTCCCAAGGACCAGGACACGGACATTTGGCACCAGGACTCTGTTTGGAAACACCCCCTCAAGCTGCCAGGCTTGGGAAAATCGTGGGCTCTCGGGGGCCTCTGGGTAAAGCCTGGAAAAATGTGGATGTATTCTTCATTGCCCCCGGTCAGCGGTCATCAGATGCTCTCTGGGCAAACCAAGGGCCTTTGTCACATTGCCTTATGGACAGTAGTAATTGGAAAAATTCCCAAATTCTTAACCTTGGCTGGAATTTGCTGAGCTGCAACTCAGGTGTTTCAAGAGTTTATGCTCCAACTAAGTGTGGGTGGCTTCTAGGGGACCCGAGGTACTGCCCAGTGACAAGTTAAAAATACTCCAGGTCAAGGCTGGGGATGTAGCTCAGTGGTACAGTGCTTGCGTAGCATGCACAAGACCCTGATTTCAATTCCCAATACCACACACACAAAAAAAGAAAAATACTCTAGGTGGTGTTAGCACTGCTGGGGTGTCTGGTCAGTATCACTAAGGAACTCTAATTTCCGAGGTCAAAGAAAGGCAAGGGAATACACCCTGGGGGTGAGGGTGGGGACCCTGCTAAAGACAGGGCAAACACATCTGCCCTGTTCCCATCCCAGACCTGAGGTACCTTTCTGCTTCTGAGGCCTGAGCCTCTGACAATACTTCAGCTTTATCTCCATCCACTCTGATTTGACATTGAGCCAGAGGGACCTCTTTCTCTGGGAAGGTGAGATGTGGTCATCACATTCACAATCCATGTTGGTTTATTAATCTAATTATAATTTTTAACTAGACCCTAAAATGCCACATGGCAGAAAAAAACAAAACTACAGAAACCACCTGCCCCCCACAAATAAATCCATGCTCTAATTGGGGTGGGATGCCCCTACTCCCCGGTCCCCAAGCTTTGGCTGATTTCCACAGATGAGGACTCCTTTCCTGCTGGCGCATCAAAGTTTAAAATTACCAGCAAAATGGTACACATTCCTCCAGATACTGTGCCCCAGTTTTAGTCCAGGGAAGGGTTCTCTTAGAAGAGAGGGTGTTGCTGGTAGCGGGGAAGACCTAAGTCTGCTCCTTTACCATGGCTGTTGGTGTGACAAGTCCTGGGCCTCACTTTACCCCATTTATAAAATGGGGCTAATGTCACCTGCCTCTTACCTACCTCAGAGGGATCTGGTGAGGCGAATGAAATCCGTGAAAATGACCATTTCATCATTTTTGGTTTTTGGAGAGCAAATGCCAACCCATGTGTACTTCTTATCTACCTAAGTGACAGCTTCCTTCTGTGGAGGACACCTTCTGGTGGAGTCAGTTCTCCTGAGCAGGAGATCCTCTATCCTGCCTCTGACCTGTTCTCTGAGTCGTTATTTGGTAACATCCCGTGCAGCCTCTCCTGAGGTCCTTTAGGCTGTGATGAATTTACTCCCCACCTCCCACCACATTTCTGGGTGCCTGACTTCTGTGTGACCCCCATGCCCAGCCACTGTTTGGGCCATCTCCCCAACACACACATCAGGCCATTAACGTCCCCAAACGCTCAGTCTCGTTCACTCTTGGTTTCCCTGTTTGTGTCACCAGGTCTTACAGGTAAACATCTTTATGATGCATGCCATGACCATGAGAAAAACAGACAGACAAATACCCCTCCATTTTAGAATAGGGGGTCTGTGCCTGAGTGGATGGGGTAGGGGGAAGCCATGGGTCTCAGAGATGACCTGCTCAGTGGGAAAGCCTGCTCTCTCGAAACCAGCTAAACCACTCCAGTATCCTGTGAAGCCAGGAGTGACCAGGAACTGAGAAGAGGTACCTGGAAACTTCTAGCCTGTGGCTAGAGCTGGTTGCCAATGCCTTCTGTTTTCAAAGGGCGGGGGTGGGGGGGAACAATTGCATTGTGGGATTCCATACTGTAAATGAATATCCACCACTTTTCAGACTTCCGTGTACAAATGTGTGCAGGTATATATACTAGTATGTATATATACTGTGTGTGTGTGTGTGCACATTTGTGTATGCATGTGTACCTGTGTGTTAGTTTTAGCTCCAATCCAAGGTAGTTTGAATTTGGATAGAGAACTAACTTAAAAGTATATGTCTTTGGCTTCCTGCTTTTCCATTTCTAAAGATGAATCTTACAAAGTGCACAGGTTACGGTGAGGCCCATTGGTTGAACACTCATGTCCCAACGTAGCCCTGCCACCTGGAGAAGCCTGCTTCCATGTGATGGGCAGACGACCCTCCCCTTGGAGACTGGAAGAGAACAAAGAAGGGGCCATGTCTCCTGTTTCTCAGTCTGCAGAGGCGCCAGTGGAGCAGGGGTCACCGACCAGGGAAAATCCCACTGCACCCTGTCTGAAATGTCTCCCCCACCATTCTCTTTCTAACATGTCATAAAAACTGTTCATCTCTGTTTTGTATGTGTGACACTTGCCTTAAAAGTAGCACAGTCCTCAAAAATGAATACAGCATTTCTACTGGTGTCTGTGAGTCCTTTGTTCCTGTCTTGTATTTGAAAAGGCATTTGTTCTAGGGGTGGCTTGGGAGGACTGAGTGGAATTTTTTTCCTGCTCCTTTCAGCCAGCATGAGCCCCTGAAGCAGGATAGGCTGGCTCGGCTGGGCAAAGCTTCAGAGACAGTTGCCACTGATCCTTCTGTTGCCACCAGCTTACATGGGTGAACATCAAGCTGCCTGGGGCCTCCCATCTACACTATCAGGGTTCTTGCAAAAAAAGTATGTTGTTAGCCAGGTGTGGTGGCTCACACCTGTAATTCCAATAGCTTGGGAGGCTGAGGCAGGAGGATCACCAGTTCAAAAGCCAGCTTTGCAAAAACAAGGTATTAAGCAACTCAGTAAGACCCTGCCTCTAAATAAAATACAAAATAGGGCTGAGGATGTGGCTCAGTGGTCAAGTGCCCCTGAGTTCAATCCGGGTACAAAAAAAAAAAAAAAAAAGTGTGTTGTTTGCCACATACCTCCATAAAATTAAGTCTTGTCATGACAACTAGGTTGCAGGCCTTAACTGAGCATCTACAATAAGCCAAGTGCCAAGCCAGGAACAACAAAAAAATGCCCTAGGCCATAGAACTACTGAGTCAGTCCCTAAGGGTGGGCAGTTAGTTGCCCATGCCTCTACCATGGTCCCCACCACACCCAGCCCATTCTTATGTATCTTGTTTTCAGTGACACCACATTCCAGCACAATTAGGAATTCTAGAAGCCTCTAATAAAAGGATTATCCTGCAAGCTCATACTGGAAGCCCTCCATTCCTCTGCTCTGAAGAAACAGATGCCTGTTCCAACCTGGATACTTCCAGCTTGTCATAGAATATGGAAACCAGTTTAATTTCTGGGAAAGGCACAAAGGATGAGGAGAGAGACTTTGCACAGATCAAAGGCCTAGTGTGGCCTTTGACAAATATTAATTTGCATTCCTACCCTGGCCTGTGGTTGCCTTGATTCTCTCCTGTGGAGAGTGCTTGAAGGCTGGGTTAGTGCCTACTGATTGAGTTTTGTTTTGTTTTGTTTTAAATAGCCAAATCAAAAGCAGCAGTTCCACACTCTCAGCTGCCTCTGCCTAGGTGACCAGGAAGTGCACTGGTCTGTTGGATCAGGATCCTTCTCAAAAGAACTTACACTTACCTCCATGAACAGCATAAGCCATGCAGCCAGGAGGAACATAGGGCTCCAGTCCCAGCTCTGCCACTCGCTTGCCGTGTGACTCTGGGCACAATAACCTCTCCGCGGCTCAGTTTTCTCAGAGTTAAAATGGGGTTAATAAACTGGGCACAGTGGCACATGCTTGTAATCTTAACGACTCAGGAGGTTGAGTCAGGAGGATCACAAGATCCAGACCAGCCACTTAGCAAGACCCCCATCTCAAAACATAAAAAAGGCTGGGGAGGCAGCTCAGGGGTAGAGCGTCCCTGGGTTCAATCCTCAGTACAGCAAAAATAAATAGATGATATAATAAAATGGGGATAATAACTGCAGCAATGATGTAGGCTTTTGTGAGGATTAAATGAGTTAGTATATATTAAGTGCTCAGAAAAGCACCTGGCATATGAAATGTGCTGTCAAATCAGAGTAGATAGAAAGGTTCCCAACCAGCCTGTGTCCCTTGGTGCCTGGGCCCAACAAAAAGCATGTGTGCATTTTTTTTTGGGGGGGGGGGTGGTGGCGGGGGTATCAGGGATTGAACCCAAGGGCGCTTAACCACTGAGTCACATCCCCAGTCCTTTTTATGTTTTATTTTGAGACAGGGTCTCACTAAGTTGCTTAGGGCCTCGCTAAATTGCTGAGGCTGGCTTTGAACTTGCCATCCTCCTGCCTCAGCCTCCTGAGCCACTGGGATCACAGGCATGCACCACCACGCCCAGCTCTGCATGTGTGCATTTGACCCTTTTCCCTTTGGAGAGATGGAGAGGAAAATCTGCCCAGCTCGTAGGCCTCTCGGCTCATCCACCCCTGTGCAATACAAGGATGAGTCTAACATTTTGTTCTAACAGCATTTGGACATCTGCTTTAAAGGAACTGGGCCTTATTAGGATGCACTTGGATGTCTCCTCTTCACAAAAGAAGCGTTCATTCACCATTTCCTCTCTTCAGTTATGTTCTTCCAAGTCGCAACCCAGAATGCAGACAGCTCCCAGCAACACGCTGTCTTCCAGACAGGGATTTGCAATCTTGGCCAGCGCTTAGCTCCTTAACCATCACGGAGGGACTCAGGGAAGGGAAAGACAGGCGTGGGTGTTGGGTTCCGATCTGCCTGCCAATCTCAGGGCTCTTGATCTGCAGGCCCCTAACTTGGGGATCTCGATGAATGAGGCAGCACGTATCAAGAGGGAAGTGATTTAAATAAAATTTCCCCTCACAAAGGAAAACAGTCATGAGCTCTCATGGGTTTTTAACTATATTGAGAATTGTAGTTTAGTGTTTCAAAATTTCTCTGAATTATTTGTTATAGGAGCTATATTTTTAGCCTGTTTCCTGTTGCTAATCCCACAATGCCACAGACTGAGTTAAAAGAAAAAAGGCTTATTTTGGCTCATGGTTCTAGAGATCCAAGGTCAAAGGCCCAAATAATGATGACCTTCTTGCTGGAAGAGTCCTGATGTGGTGCAAGACATCATATGGCCCAGACAGGGAGTACACATCACATGTATGTGTATGTACGTGTAACGTGTAC